CCTCCCCCGCTCTTTCTTTCCTTTCTCAGACATCTCCTGAGTACCTTCCCTGTGCCAGACAGGCCGGAGCACAGTGAGATTTAGGTCCTGTCCCAGGGTGCAGCCTGGAAGGGGGGACAGATATTTGGCAGTCATTTCACAGCAGTGTGAGAGGGCCTGTGAGGTGCTTCGCAGTTATGCAGAGGAGGGGAAGCCTAAATCTTAAACAGAATTCATCTGCTCCCCAGCCCATAGCGGGGTTGTCAAGCGCTGAAGGAGACTCATAAGTGGCGTGCTTGGGTCATGAGCGGGTCCGCCGTCACCGCACCTGCTGCGCCCAGCTGCGTTTCTGAGCCAGGGGACCGGCGCGCTCCATGCTGGGCTCCGCACACGCGTGCCTGGGTCTCCCCCTAGCAAGGTTCGAGCCTGGCAACCAGTGTCTAGCCCACCAGCTCTAGGTGCCCAAAACTGTGCTTGGCCCAAAGAGGACATACAAGAAGTTTATAAGAAGGATGCTGATGACATGTGGTCTGTGATTTAGGTAACCAAAGTCACGTTGTTCTCATTTAATTGCTAGCTTTATGGTAAAAACAAGGCAATTTCATCATTCTGATATGATTAATAGAACATGTTTAAAAAAATAAATTAAAAAGGGGGGAAAGAATATGTAAATAGACTCCAGATCTCATCCTTGCGGGGTACAAAGTACATGATTAAAATAGAGCCAAAAGTGCCCTAGCCAAGTAGCTCAGTTGGTTAGAGCATCGTCTCAATATGCCAAGGTTGTGGGTTCGATCCCGGTAGGGGCACATACACAGATAAACCAGTGGGTTCGATCCCGGTAGGGGCACATACACAGATAAACCAATGAATGCATAAATAAGTGGAACAACAAATAGATGTTTCTGTCTCCCTCTCTCTCTCTCTTCTTCTCTCGCTCTCAAATCAATAAATTAGTAAAAAATTAAAAAATATATATAGCCAAAAGGAATGATTGATCATATCCAGGGACTCTTTTTGAAATATAGTTAGGCTATTTCCCTCCTTTTTATTTTTTAAGAACCAAGTGGCTTAATCCACTCTAATTGCCCACATAATAAATCTTGTTTGGCTAGGACCAGTACAAAACTATGTCTGAAACCAATCAGTTGTTTGTTTTCTAGTTCCCACATTTTGGCTTAAAATACGGCTTTCAATTTGTATGCCGAAGGATAGCCTGAAGCAAACTTTTACGGTGAAGTTATGAAACCACAAAGCGGTTTTCATAATGGAAGTGCTGACAGACCCTTAACTTATGGCCACGGTGAACTTGGAAGCCACTTTAGTATCTAAAAGCAGCTTTTCCATAAATGTAACGTTTGCTCTCCCCCAGGATCCATCTTAGCACTTTAACTACCTAGGTCAATCAGCAGAGGAAATGAAAACTACATATCCACATTTCCGACAAGGCAGAATAATATTTCATTCGTTTCCTCACAAATATTTATTAAGTGCCTACTATGTGACAGGCGCCATGCCAGTCCGGGTGGCGAGGACCACGGGGCCTTTTAGAGATAACTTGGGGCAGTAGTTTTCCACCTGTGCTTCTTGGAACCACCGTGCTGTGTGCTAGGGCTCTGGGGCCAGGGTGTTAGCAAGGAGCTGGCCTGTTGGGGACCCCCCTGCACCATCACCAAAGGAAAATAATCTGAGAAGAACTCCGCTTTTAGTGTGTTTTATATGTTGGATTCTAAGTAAGATTTTGTTTGAATAACGAGTTCATGATCAAAACAAATTGGAAGCCCCTGGTCTAGCTTAATCCCATGTTTTATAAATACCAAAATCGGGCCCAGAGAGATAAAGTGATTGACTGGAAGCCACACAGCCAGGATTAGAACCAGGCCTCCTGAGTCCTGGTGTGGTACATTTGTGGTTTAAAAATAATAAATAGAGCTACTAAATTGTGTTGTGTATGTTCCAACAAAATTCCTGGTTCTTACTTGAACCTCAAACTCGCGTCTAACCAATACAAGATTCCATGGTGTTTTCCAGAACATTTTAAAAACAGGCTCTTCCAGTATTTTAGAGCAGTGAAAGTATTAAGCCTCAATGATGCAGAAGGGTTTGTTCTCGCTTCCTGTCCTTCTTCCACAAAGAAGTCAGCAGTGTGGTCCAGGTGGGGACCTCGGGCTGCAGGGGTGCCCTGCCCAGCCAGCCGTCAGCTGAGCACTGCTTGGGCAACCTACGTAATCTCTCCTAAGCCTCAATTATTTCAACCTTAAAATGGGAGTGAAGATAGCAGTATCAAATCTCATAGGGTCGCTATGAGGTACGTGTATACACGTGAAAATGTGTATAAAGTATTTAGCATGGTGACTAGACTGAAGTTAAGAGCTTAAAGAATAATAGTTATTATTACTATTAACTGAGCAAAAACTCTGACTACATGTAAGACACTCTCAAATATAAATGAATTTGTGCGTGCTAAGACAATTTATTTAACTTAATTTTTATTGGTGGCTATTAGTGCTTTTGTTAAATGTATTAATAGCTTAATCAAGTGTGTAGTGCTATAGTATGCATTGAGGTCTTCAATTAAGCTGTCAGTGGTCTGAAAGCCTCTAGACAGGCCCAGTGGTCGATGAGGCTCTGTCAGCTGAGACATCAGTGTGGTCCCAGAATGTCTCAGACACTGGGCAGAGCAGCCTAGTACCTACAACTCATTTCTCCTTACACCTGCAAAGGTTGAACGCTGTGCTGCAGCTAATGGCATTGGTCTATTAGAGCTGCTCTATATGTATGTACTGCTGAAAAAATTTGAAATCAGCCTTTTCTTTACTTATAGAGCCATCAAGCCCCCTTTATTAGCGCCCCCCCCAACACACACATTTTCCCCCGTTCCTGCCAACACCTGGCAGCCTGTGGACAGGGGACCCTAGGCTGCCATCCCTTGGTCTAACATTTATTTCATGCTCAAAACACATTTGTTGGCTGAATGAATGAAAGATACACACTAAGTGGGGACCTAGGCAGCTGATCTGCATGATAATATAATTTATTTAATAAAGGACTTGGAAAAACATTCCTTGCTTATATTTCACACCTTTGTGTTTATTATCTCTCTGTAAGCTTCATGAGGGCAGGGGTTTTGATCCCTTTCATTAATTGCAGTCTCTCTGGACTTAGAATAGTACTTTGCACGCAATAGGCACTTAATATTTGTTGCTTGGAGCCATCCTTCTGTAGCACTTGGCAGTTCTTATGCAGAAGAATGTCTGCTTCTTACCCTGGTAGGACTTTGCTCTCTTGGTTCTCTCCTACTTCCCTGGCCTGCCCTTCATCTTCTTGGATGGCTCCCCCTTTCCTTCTAAGATCTCACTGTGGGAACTGCTCCTGGCTCTATCTTGGCCACAGTAGTTTCCACGAAGGTGGCATCCAGTCTCGCTTTACCTCTTGCCTCCCCGTGGCTGAGCCTTCAGGTATTTGAATCTCTGTGTCTTGCACACAAGTCCTCACTTCTGGCTGCCTGCTGGGCACTCCCAGCTGGTGTCTGCTTGATCTTCACACCCGCCCGATTCTTCACAGAGCCGGTCATTTTTCATCAGTCAGTTTCTCTTAGTAGTGGCTGGACACTGGCTGGAAGTTAGATCTGGGTTTGGATCCTGGATATGCCTTCTCTTGCTCCATCTATAGCTTTGGTTGGGAAAATTTCTAACCTCTTTGCAAGTCAGTTTTCTCACCCAGAATAGCAGGATTTTGATAGTAATTCCCTCAGAAGCTTGCTGAGTGAGAGAGAGAACGTTCCCAGCGCAGTGACCACATTTTCATATTTTTCCTTTGCTGCCACTGTTTTCCCAGTTACCTAAACTCTATCTACTGCAGTCACCTTTGAGACTCACTCATACAGTGCTCTTTTCCTTTCACGACTTGCTTCATACCTTTCTCTTCCCACTGCCACCAACCTGCTTGAGGTTAGTGTCATCTGTCTCATCTAATCATAGCATCTCTCTGCCTCCAGGTTCTCCTCTTCAGGTCCTTCCCCACCTTCCCCTAATCTCTGCGTTACACAAATTCCTGGAGAGCAAGGATCTCTTAGTAGAGCAAGAAGGGGAAGAGGTGAGAAGGTACTCACTGGGATTTCAGGGCCTTTTAAACTATTTTTAATATAAGATTGAACAGCTTTATTTGAAAGGTTTGATGTATATTCATTAAAGCCACTGAAAGCAATTTCAGGTCAGCTAACCTTAGTTCACAGAGAAAAGTGGAAACCAACAAAAAACAAACAAAAGAAGAAGCCTTCTTTCTCCCGCCCTGAGTAAAACCTGGTTTCCAGCAAACTCATAAATTATGTCTTAATAGGTACAATTTAATGAAAAATATTCCCTGTGGTCATAAGTGCCGAGCACATAGTAAGCACTTTAAAATGCCTATATTTTCAGATTTCTGTTGCAGAGACCAGAACACAAAGTAGCTTTTGTCAAAGCTTTAGTTGCTGATTCTGCTGTCATTTCCCCCAGGGGAAAGACCTCTTTATGGATTTGTAAAAGGTTGACAATAGCCTTAATGTGTTAAACAAAATGGTCGAATTTCAATCATGTGGTTGAAAAATTATTTGTGTTCTTGAAATCTTATTGTTTCCTAGTGATCAACTAAATAAAATACCTCACTTCTTTCTGGTTGGGATATAAGAGCCTGTTTTTGAAACCTAGAAGGTCCACCTTCATAAATATTTCTGCGCTTTATGGGCTTTTAGGGTATTGTCACCGGAGACTATTTGTATTTTGTGGAATTTTCACAGTAGTTGGCAGAAATTGCCATCTGGCTTCTGCCCCTGGCACTCCACTGAACTGCCTGGTGAGGTCACTGAGGACCCCTGAGTTGCCAGATCCTGTGACTTCCTCTGTGTGGCAGGTGACACTCTGACCACTTTTCAACGTCCTTCATCCTCTGGTTTCCTCTGTCATCTGTATGCGGAGTGAGGGCACTGTGCCTGGCCCAAGTGAGCTTCTGGGGTCATGAAGATGAGTGAGATACAGTTTTTCACCCTTTAAGTAATTAAATCCAGCAGAGGAGACAAATGCATAGACCAGTGGGTGTAATGGGGTTCTTCCAGTCGTGTGTCTGAAGCCTGAGTGACAGTCATTTTCTAGGTGTTCTGGGGAAGGTAAGGTGGAGGGCATGGAAAGGACATATTGAATCAATTGGGGAGAGACATGTGAAGTTTAAAATTCCCCCAAGCTTCTAATAGACCCCATTAAGAAGCTGTCTCTTTAATTGAAAATCACTGCAGGGTAATGGGAGGTGTTAGTGATGGGAAAGTTTAGCAAAAGTGAATCTTTGGGAAGCAGGAGATGGAGCACCACTGCTCAAGGAAACAGTGAGCGGATAAAGAAAGGAAGGATCATTTCTATCACTGGTGTGGGGAGTCGGGGAAATTGTCATATGGGAGTGATGCTTGGTTTGAGCCTTGAAATACAGGCAGGAATTCATCAGATCGATTTGATTAGGGAAGCAGTCCAGGTGGAGGGCACAGCGTGAGAACAGCAGAGAGGTGCGCAGCAGCGCAGGGAATGATGAGGATTGCGTGCTGGTTTCCAAGGCCAGCCAAGAGGTAAAACAGGAGATGGGGGACGACCTTTAGACCAGGCAGAGGAGATGGACTTCACCCAGGAAGTAATGGGATGACTTTTGGAGAGTTTTAACAACAGTGATATGCTCTGATTGTCTTTTTAGGAAGATGTCCTTGATAGCAAAATGGATAGTGAATTCGGGGAGGGGGAAGTCTTTGCCAACATTGGAGTCAGGGAGACCATTTAGGATACTATTCCAATATTCAAAGATAAATTATGAAGAGTCTGAACTAAGGCAGTGGCAGAGGGAATAGAGAAGAGAGATGGCAAAACAGTCAGGTAGGAGGTAGATTCCATACCACTTGGCGAGTAATTGGACATAGGAAGTTAGGGGAAAGGGAGTTAGCTTTATGTGTCATATACACAGTTGGTCACTGCAACAGTCAGGATAAAGAATGTAGCTGCTGTAACAAACAACTTAGAGATCTTGGGGGGTGAGCACAGTAAAGATTGATTTCTTACCACAGTCCAAGGCAGGTTAGCATGGGCTTTGCTCCACACAGTCATTCAGGAACCCAGGAGTCTCCAATCTAGTGACTCTGCCTGGGCTTTGGAATGTTCCTGGGTCCTCCACTGTATCTTCTGCATGAAAGGAAAGAGAGAACTCATAGAGAATTATATAGAATTATGTAGAAGGTTTTTACACTTGACTATTGAATAAAGCAGGAATTAGGGACACCAACCTACACACAGTAAAAAATCTGAGTGTTAACAAGTAGGCCCTTAGGTTACATGGATTTCCAACCGCAGACTGAAAATACCATTGACCCTTGAAGAACACGGGTATGAACTATGTGGGCCCACTCATATGCAGATTGAAAAAATCTGTGTAATCCTCATATGAGTGGACTTGCGCAGTTCAAACCCATGTTCTTCAAGGGTCAACTGCAAATGATTTCTGCTCATTTAGTCACATGGCCCACTGGATTGTAAGGGAGGCTGGGAAATATAGTTGTATTATGTATCCAGGAGGAAAAAATGAAATATGTCTCTATCTTTGTCACTAAATCCTATTAATTCTACTTCCCAAATATCTCCCTAACTTTTCCTTGCTCCTTTACCTCCAGTGCTGTTAGAATTCATTCTCTAAATCACCTCCTACATAGCAAAAATCTCCTAACTAACCTTCTGCCTCCAGACTGACCCCTCAGTGGCCAACCCACAGCAGTACCAAGGTATCTTGCTGGAATAAAAATGTGAGCATATCATTCCCTCCAACCCCCTTAAAAGCCTTTAGCGATTCCCTGTCCCCTTCTGAACTCCCTAGCAGAGTACAAAGGGCCCTTCTCCACTGTGTCTCGTCTTTGGCCACTTTCCATCATAAAGCCTTTGCTCCAGCTGAACCAAGTGTGGCTCCTTTCCACACCTGCGGCCTTTGTGTTCACCCTTCTTTGCCTTGGCGCACACAGTTTCTTCTGCCTGGAATTCCCATCTCCTCCTTGCCCACTTGAGGAATGCCTGAGAATCCTTCAAGATTCACCTTCCCTGTGCAAATTTCCAGATGCCCTCCTATTGACGCTAGCTTGTTCTGCCCTCAGTTTGCCCATAATATATTAATTGTATTTCTCAGTGTTCTTGCTGGAAGGGAATATTGAAGAGACTTAAATGAAAAGGGACTATTTGTAAAGATTTGGGCAGCTTTAAGGGAAATAAATAAGGGACAGTGGCAGAGTCTGGACCTGAAGAGGCAGGGGTGAAAGCTGGTGGAAGAGACAGAGGGTAGGACTGTACCTGTGGTCTTTGCCAGAGAAGTATAGCCAACTGCCACCTGCCACCTGGCTGGGAGGGAACAAATGTCCTGACCTTTCTGGCCTTCTGTTTTCTCATCTCCTACTACTACTCAAAACCAACTGGAAGCTAAAGGGTGAGGGAGACCACTGATGCTGGCCTTCAGGGCAGCTTCCCAGGGCTCAGAGTGAGGGGAGAAGGGGAAGAGTAGATCTGAATGGGCCAGTGGAGACTATCCAGCACAGCTCTTTGTGTCTCTATTATAGTAGAGCCCAATACATCATATTAAAAATCTTTATATATATCTTTTCCCCACCAAATTATGAGTTCCTTCAGTGCATGTTTTATATTTTTCTGAATCATCGATGCCTTGCACGTGCTAAACCTTTAAAATTTGCTACAAATAATGGTCCCTTTTGCAACATTTAAATGAAATATTCAACTGCATTATTACAGTCTATTTTAAGTGTTGAAAAGCCATTTCCTACAGTTGACTGACCCAAGAGCATAGAGAGTTTTGCTTCATCTCCCTGACCTGCCTTTTCTCGTTTCTCAGAGAAGCAAATCGGACCCGTGAAGTCTCTGCCATGCCTTCCAGGAGCTATGCCCCGTACGCCCGGGTCCTGGAGTTAACCATGAAGAAGACTGTGACTTAGGCGCTCAGGGCCGTGCACCCTTCAGATGGACAGATGCCCTGGAAGCCGCAGCCTGAAGCCTGGGAAGGGCGCCTGTGGCTTCTTCATATACGCAGGTTAAGCCAGAATGGAAATTGCTGCGGTTCTGATCCATTTCTTAACCTGTGAAGGGAAGTGGAGGCGGAGGGGGAGGGCAGGAGAGAGGTTTACAGGGTCCTGTTTCAGACGCCGAAGCAGCAGCGCCGCTGTCCTGGGCCGTCGCCGGTTTCCCGTGCGCGCTGACGTCCTGTCAGAAGAATTCCCTCACAATTTATTTTGTTTCACGAGACTTCAGTTGGGAGGAAGAAGGGCATTCGTTTGAAATTTCATGTTATTCACGCCAGGACCATTTGTTACCGCATGAAGGTTTTGTTTACCCATAAAGTATTAGAGGCAGCGCTCTCCGCTACAGAGAGGCCTGTCCGCGGGGCCTGGCTGCCCGGACTTGTCCCTGGGAGGGAGGGCGTCCAGCGCGGGGGCTGTCTCCTCGCGGGGCCCAGGCTGTGCGCAGGGTTGCGGGCACCACTGGAGATGGTCCTCGTGTGGGCAGGCACGCTTCATTCCAAATTGCTGATCCCTTGGTTTCCTTTGTGCCTTATGCCTCTGTGGAGCCAGCTGAAATCACTGTATTTATTCAACCTGTGATTTTTTTTTTTCTCTTTTTCTTTCTCACTTTAACTGAAAGAGAATTTTGTATGTTGTGGAAATTTAATCATTTCAAGTTTTCAGTATTGATCGGTGTTTTTGTTAAACGAATGAGTAATTTGTTCATGCATGCTCTACTTTGATATTATAATAACCGGTGTCACATAAGTTTAATAAATGCCATATATTTTGTTCTACTGATGCTGTCTCTGTGTTTCACCCATGACCGTGTACAAGGGGTAGAGAGTGGAACCAGACTCTGGAGTGAGTGTCAAGGTCAGGGCACGGTGATCTTTCAATCAGCATAATCCATAGAAGCATTTATATACCATAAGATAGGGGGTGTGTGTGTGTGTATGTGTGTGTATTTTTAAACTCTGAAATTTAACTAGTTAACTCTCCTCTGAAAAGAATAAGATAAAATACAAAAGTTATAAAATACAAAAGTAGTTTTTACTTTAAAAAGTCACCCTTCCTTTTGTCCAATCCCCTCTGCCCTTACTTCCCCACTTCAAAAAAAGAAAGCACTAAAGAAACCATGCAAAGCAACTCAGTTGGGTAAATTCCCATGAGCCGGGATAGTATAAAAAGGAAAATGTGTATTTTGAAGCCAAACTTGTGTTTAAATTATGATTGTAGGACCTTGGGCAAGTCATCAAAGCTCTCTGAATGTCAGCTTCGTCTTTTAAGAACCCAAAAAATCACACCTACCTGGTAGGGTGATGGGAGTGCCAAATGAGGTGTTCGTGCAGAGGCAGGGGCCAAGTGAGCGCTGAGCGCAGGAGTGATTGCTTCGTTCTGCACGTTTGTTTCAAGGCTCTGCTGCCTCCTGGTTCCCCTCACTCATGGGGGTGTTCTAGCAGTGAGAAACCAGGCCCTGGGCAAACCCCAAAAAAGAAGCGTTTGGACAAAGGCTGTCCTTGGGAACAGGAATGAGAAGCTGGACTCAGAGTGGCAGAGGGTCCCTAGGCCTCTAGAGAAGCTGGTCTGGAAGCTATTTCTAAATGAAATGCAATGGCATAAAGAATGTCAGTTTCAATGGGAGCAAGGCAGAAATGAAAGCTGATCCGTGGGCACCACCACATCCCCTCCTCTCTCTTTCCTAAAACAAGAAGGAAAAAGGAAAAATTTAGTGAGTAATTTTATATTCAAAGAATACCATGGCTCATTCTAAAGCATTAAAGGTGGTCTCTATCTGAGGCTTTTTAAAATTTTTTATTCTCACCCAAGTATATGTTTATTGATTTTTTTTAGAGAGAGAGAAACATCAATTGGCTGCCCCCTGTATGTGTCCCAGCAGGGGATTGAACTCACAATCTGGAGTCTGTTGCGCTTAGTCACTTAGTGTGTGCCTTGGGCAGGTCACAGAGTCCCTTCAAGCCCCTGTAAAATGGGGACAGTGACGGTCTTTCCTAACTGCGGTTGGTGTGGAGATTAAGCAAGTTAATATCTGTGAAGTTCTTAGACTAGTGCTTGGTGTACAGTAAGCACTCAATAAATGCTGCCTATTATCATTATATATTTTTGTGACTACTTTTATTTATTATGATAATTATATATATCTACACCACTGTTTCTTATCATTAGTTGGATTCCATTTTACTGATGTTCTATGATTCACTTGACCCATTCCGTATTGTTGGAATTTTGAAGATTATCGTTACTCCTTTTGAACAATTCTGATGAACCATCTCTTTACACTTGCCTAATTATTTTCTCAGGATAAATTCCTAGAAAAGGAATTGCTGGGTCAAAAGTTATGTGCTTTTAAGTCTTTTGGTGCACATGGTCCAATTTGGCCTTTGGAAATTTGAATCCATTGAAATGCTCACCAACAGGATGAGAGTGTGGTTTCCTGACCCCTTGGCCAACATTGGGAATGAGAAATGAAGGAGTGTATAAAGTTGCTTGTTTTGGGCAGACATGCACATACCCCAAACAGGCAGTGAAAAAAGTTCCTTCAGGATATTGCCTTTGGATACCTGACCTCAGGGACTGCAGGTGTGATCTGCAGGCCTGTAGGTGTCCCCATGGCCCAGCGAGTGCCTGGGCAGCTGACAGGAAACAAGACTGGGCTCAGAAGGAGCAGGTGTCTCCCAGGATCCTGGAATCAGAGAGGGCCTGCTGCTTGGTGAGACAGAGCAAGAGCCAGCCACAAGACAGAAATTTTAGGCTATGTGCCTAAAATGGGGTTTGAATCTGAGTGAAACTGCCCCAGAGGGCAGATTTCAGAGCTAGACAGGGAGAGAACAACATTTGGGAAGTGCCTGGAGTTGGGTGATGTGACATGGTCCCCCATTAGATGGCACACTAACGAAGGATGACCCTGAGCTGGTCTGTAGGTCTACTCTTGGCACCCATTTTCTCCCCAGCAAAGGCTGTCTGTCTGCTCTAGAAACTTCAGGGTGGTGCTCAGGGCAAGGGGTGGGGAGCTCAGGCTATATCAGACCATGGTGCTTTCTTGACATCCAGAGTTGGAGGCCCAGTTCAGGTCAACCAGCACATGCTAGGTGCTGCCTGCCAGGTGCTGCCTGCCAGGTGCTTCCTGTCAGGTTCTAGGAAAACAAAGGTCACCTCAAGACCCTGTCATCTCCAAAACCTGTCCCAATGTGTCGAGCTCCTCCTGACCTTTGGCTGCCTCTGTATCCTAGGGATACCTATTCTCTGCCCCCTCTTTTCTACTCTTTCAGCTAATGATTGATCCTCATATCCATTTTCTGTCTCTCCAGTGATATAAGGGCCTTGGGGGGTTTCCCATAAAGGACACACATAATTTGGAGAGGATCATTCCAAACCTCGATGAGCATGAAGAAATCTACAAAGGAGAAGGAATCCAGAAAGTGCCCTGGCTGGGGGAAGTAAAGGAGACCACGATTGCTGAGATAGCACAGCATACATGCACTGAATCTCTACAAATGGCTCTGTGTGGAAAATGTCACCACCATTTTGTAGATAAGGCAATTGAAACTCAAAGAGCTGAAACTCAACTCAAAGCCTTTCTGACTGCAGAACACAGGTAGGAAGCCTGGAGTTGGTCCCTGGGCTGCCACTGAATCGCAATACCTACCCCCTTGGTCAAGTCACTTCAGCTCTCTGAAGCTCAGTGCCCCAGCAAGCAGCTTTGCCTAGGAAGTAAACGGAATTGCACCCCTTATCCCTCACATAGCCCCACATAGCCTTGCTGTGCGCGTCACACGAAACAGCATGGAAACATTTTCCAGCACCTTATCAGAGGCATGCCAATAATCAATACCTGCTATTACTACTAGTAATTGCTGGGAAGGAGGTGTTGCACCATGAATATTTGCAAACCCAAGGATTCCCTCTTATTGGACACATATTAGAGACTTGGGTTGTGCAGAAGGAAAGTATGGGGGAAATGTGGCTGGTGGCTGGATAAAAGGGAGATTAAATAGTCTCCTTTTCCTCATATACAAATTTGAGAATAACTCATTTGACTTTGTCAGGGAAGGAAAAGACCGTAAGGGAGACTGGAAATGCATTTCTGGAAAGAGAGACCAGGGGCAAAGAGTCTAGAGGTAGATGCTGCTAAATTTGGGGGTAATTTGATTGGGCAGGATTAGATGACTAATTCATGATGAGAAGTATAAATGAAAGAAGTTTTTTCAGATATGGATATGCAATTGTTTTAGCACCATTTGTTGAAAAGTCTACCCGTTTTCCACGGAACTGCCCTTGTCCCATTGTAGAAAGTCAATTGGCCGTACAGGCATGATTCAATTTCTGTACTCTATTTTGTTCTATTGATAAAGTTGCCTATCTTGACACCAATACCCCACTGTCTTGATTACTGCAGCTTTATCATAAGCCAGGGAGTCTCCTACTTGGCTCTTCTCCTTCAAAGCCGTTTTGGCTATTCTAGGTCCTTTGCATTTCCATATGGATTTTACAGTCTGTCAGTTTCCACAAAAGGGCTGCTGGGATTTTGAGTGAGATGGCACTGAATAGATAGGTCACCAAGGAGAACACCAAGACCTTGCTGTGAGTGTCAGGCCAGCTCGTAGCAGCTCCATGGCCTTGCTGGCAGTACTAGGTCCGCTCCTGAAATCAGGAGCTACTCCTCTGTTCTTCAGTTGGGAAGGTACCAGGTAAAAACTTCCATAATGTATTTTGATAAAGGTACAGTATAATCTTTGTGGAATTCCGAACAAAATTTATAAGAAACATTAATGTGTGCCCAAGGGCCATAAAACTGATGTAATTTGGATGCAATAAAATATAAATAAATGGCAAACAGTTCTTGGGGGTTTTCTCTTAATTTTTCAATACATACTTTCGAGTTTTAACATACAGCATTTACAGCATTCACCTTCCTGAATTAGGGGTGGGAAGGGGGGGTTGAGAAATAATTAGTAGGCAATTTTTTGGCCCTGGGACTTTTCTTGTAAATGTTTTCTTTGGCAGCCTTACTCTTGAGAACAGGAAGTTACTCTCTTGTTACAGATTTAAGAGTTTTCTGAGCCAAATAACAGAAAGCTGGATTAGTTCTGAAATGAAGGGGGGAAAAAAACAACAACTCTAGGCTCTTGCTGCAGATTAATGACATCTTGCAAATATTTTAATTCTCCCCTTTCCTCTTAACTCGCCACCTCCTAAACAAAACACATTTGGCCAGAAAAAAACTTAACTGGTCACTTTGTGGCCCAACCCTGAAATAAGAGGTCTTTATTATACCCTCAATTTATTTAAACATTTTTGGGGGGCTGAAGGGAATGAAATTAAGGGTCATCTCAAGTTAACCTTTTTTCCTTACAAAAATCTCCAATATGAATTTAGAGTAGAAAATGTTGTTGTAAAGATGCTAATATGTCCGCACTGATCATAAAAATCTGTAATTTTCTTTGACCTTTAAAAATGGCTTTTGTTATAGATAAAAATGTTATATCAAGCTTTGTAAACAATGCCTATGTTTTGTTTGAGATGCTCACAAACAGTTCTTTAGGAATTGTTCAAAATAATAGGATGCTTTGACTAGAGCACTTACTAGTCTGAACTATAAAATAAGAAAACTGGTCCCCATCCACCACCGAAGAAAGGCAGTTCTTTTTTTAAAAAATACGTCTTTATTGATTTCAGAGAGAGGAAGGGAGAGGGGGAGAGAGAGAAACATCAATGATGAGAGAGTCATTGATCAGCTGCCTCCTGCACGCCTCCTACTGGGGATCGAGCCGGCAGC